TCTCCTCCCCGAGCTTCTGCAGCTTCTGCTGGGACCGCGAGGCCACGGTGCCCTCCCAGTCCGCCAGCGCGTGCTCCGCCACCGGCAGCAGCGAGGCACCCACGCAGTTGTACCTGGAGGAACCCCCCCCACGACAAATATCCAACCCACCCTTACACCAAGGAAATTGAGAATGAAGCCCTTGTTCCCCCTCAAAACTTCAGGCCCTCGCCGCAACAAGGGCGGGGGTCGAAATCCCTCCCATACGCTTGAAGATAATTTGCCCAACAACTGGGAGGGCCCAAAGCGAGGCGAAAATGTGTGTTCTAACTCTGACAAACCCCGGTAACGCGCAGCCAAAAAAGACCCAAAACAAAGGGCCAACAAAAAGCTGCTTCTCGGCTTGTCCTAGTCAGGGGCCCTCTCTTCTAGAAACAAGCATTGGCTTTGATGGCTCACCCATACTTGCTATTGGTAGCGTTTACCCTTGAGGGCAGAATTCGTCTTTGGGAAGGCCATTCCAACCGGTCGAGTCACACCAAAACGATTCGGACTGGTATGACACCAGTGGACAATTTCCACCCTCGAACGTCACCAAGTGGGGCTTCTGGAACCTTCCCCAGACCGCCTTTGAAACCGAATCGAACCCCCAACAAAACCGCAACCCCCCAAAACCTATCTCCCTCCCTCAAAAGCAACAACCGCCGCATGGGGCCCCCGGCCAGCCCATCTGCATCAGCAGCTGGTCCCTCTCCTGGGCCGCCGCAAAGGCCGCCGAGGCTCCGAAGGAGAGCAGCAGCACGCTGTCCTCGCGGACTGCCGGCTTCGGCGGCTTCGGAGCTCGCCGAACTGCGCGCGCTTGACACATGCGCAAGGGAAGTGAGGCGCATGGAAGTCGATGTTGATGTATTTATGGGCGCAATCAGCGTTCAGACAAGTTCAACGAAGCTTCGGCTTTGAGCCTTAGCTGCAAGAGGCAACCGTGAGGAAATCCACTTCCAAGCGTCAAAGTGACTCCGGTGTCAACCTCCGAACTGTTGTGCGGTCTGAAGCATCGAATCGGGCGACAGGAGGGCCGTCTTCGTCGCGCGGGCAACTCACTTTCACCCACCCTCTGAAGCATCCACTTCCAAGCTGAATTTGAGAGCCACGCAGCATGTAAGCAACAATCATCTTGCTCCACATCACAACCAACCCACAACAAAGCGTGCAAGTCGCCACCCTCTGCAACCCCCGGACTTGTTTCAATTCCCCAATGGAGGTTTGTCAAACATTCTGGCATTTCGCACCCCGTGTGGCTCCCGCGACAGCCTTCCCGAAAAGCGCGCGGAGCTGGAAACAACGCCCTCAAGTTTGGCCTCCCTGACACCTTTAACCCCACCCCCAAGAGAATGGGCTGGAACCCTGGGCCAAAGGACCCTTTGAGAAACGCCCACGCAACGCTCTGAGCGCTTGCGCCCAAAGAGCGGTCCAGCACGAAGCCCGCGAGGTTGGCCACCGCCACGTCGGCGCTCTCCCGGGGCCGCAGCACCACCGCCTGGCGATTCGACGGCTCGGGGGGGCTTGGGGGGCTGTCCCAAAGAAGGCAAGGGCGGGGAAAAGGGTTTGTGTTCAGTGCCAAAAGCTAGCAAAGCGCGAAAAGGGTCGGGAAAATGAGAGTTCTTGCATTGCAGGAAAGTGGTGTGGCCACATGTAGGAAAGCTTGCCTCGTGTCGCCCTCATTTGACATTTCCAATACTTACGTTATCGTCGTGCACACAAAAACGTTATGGTCTCAATAACATGGCCCAGAAACAACTAAGGTCTTTGCCTATAAACGGTATGGGTATATACCTTTGTGTGTGTGTGTGCGTAGGTGCAATACCTTCTCATGTAGCCTTAAAAAAGATGGTTCTACTTGGATCTGGTTCCACCAACACGCGTTGTAAGCGGAATCTTAGCTCCCCACCTCCAAACCCAAATCTGAAAACTCCCTGGGTACAAAATATAAAATATTTGGGCGCGTCTTTTTTGACTTTGCCCGTTTGGGGGGGGGGGGGGGGCTGTTGAAAGGGAAACCATACAGCAAGCACGATCTTGTGACAGCCCACCATTTACATCATCCAAGCCACTCACAGTAAGTGGGTTCCGTGGGGGCCAACAGAAACAGAACTCTTACTGCCACAAACAACCCAAAGCAACATGAGCTTCTGACTTTGACACCCAAAATGGAAACAAATAACCAGTAACCAGCAACTCGGACGGCCCAATGAATAGGGCTTGTAAGAACAACTCACACACAAAACCCTCAAGCCACACAGAATCATGCGAAAAAAAGAAAAAGAAAATCCGCATGCCTCAACAAACCTCAACCACCCATGCACCAAAAAACCACCAACAGAACCAACGGCCGCGCCAGTCGGCGCCGACAACGACGTTTCCGGCCGGCCTCATTGTGCCACTCCAGGGGCGGGCGCGGCAAACACGCCCAGGGAGGGTCCGCCAGGAACCGCGTGCGAATCAGGTGCGCCAGCTGGGGTTGGCCTTTCCAAAAAAAAACGATGTTGGGATTGGTGTTTGGGACCTTTATGGATTGGGGATTCGGTGTTTGGATTTTGGGGACTGTGACCTTAGGACGCTTCGGTGGACATCAAGGCAACATGCGGGGTGTCCACCAACCACTCTTGAGGCGCGAAAACACATTGCCCGGATCTGAAAAGAACTTTGGCCCAAGCAAAGGAGGAGTCAACAAGTCCCATTACGGTCTTGCTATTTGCCTTTCATGCGTGAGCACGAGACCAGCGAAATCCTGGACCGGATTGTGGAAAAACAAAAACATGCTAGGTCATCAAATGCAAAAATGGCTCTGCCGGAGCATCTGCATTTCTCCACCAAACACTGAGGGCTCACAAGCAGCGCTCCACCGAATCCGGTCGCGGGATTTTGGGCTAGAGTAAACGAACTCCTCACTCAGCAGGCGAGGGTCTGCAACAAATTCCGAGGTGAGGTTCTCCACGATCTATGTACTCCAATTGAAGAAGAGTCCGCTCACGATTGTTGAACTCTGTATGTGGTTCGGTTGTCACTTCCTACTGGAAGTCGTACTCGTGAGGCACATCTGCCTTCCCGAGTTCTGTAGAGTTCCAAAGCTGGCTGCCATCTTTTGCAAGCCCAAGGCATGTGTTCCCGTGTGACCTGCAGGTACCATGTGACGTCCTTCGAAGGGTTTGCACCAGCCTCCCAGGATTTAGCACTTCACGGTGTTGGGGTTGGAACGCACTTCTGCCGGATCCCAAATAAGGCTCCAAGAAAGAGCCCGCAAGCAGCACTGGAATGTCGTGCCCCAGCCCCGTGGACTGAAGCGCAACTTGCCACAAGCATTTCACAGTCATTCCAAAACATGAAATCAGGGATCCCCACGGCGAGCTCGTCTCACCTCCAGCTCCAGTTGCCGGAATCCCTACAGAGAAAGGGGAAAGACCTCGAATGCTTTGTCCGCTGCAACCAACCAGATGTCCAACCTGACTTGAGACACGCCCGGAATGTGTTTAACAAGCCCACGCAACGAGCGCGCTACCTCATTTAAACACCAACCCGAGAAGAAAATCATCGACACTTGACCAAATAAGGTCCGTTCTGAACTCAAACCTAGGATTCGCATCTCTTCCATCAGTGTAGAACCTGAGTTTTACAACGAAACCCCCCCCCAACAAAAGAGGTGGAATTCCTCTAAGAAGCTCGCGGATTGTCCGGTTTCCACATTGATCTGCGGAGTTTAATCCTAGGATATATCGCTTCCCTCAAGCTTCACGCACCGAAGGATGACCTCAAAAGAAAAGAAGACGCCACGCTCAACTGCGCTGGTCCACTTCCCCTCGCTTCGGTCGCCTGTCCACTCGGACTGGCGCCAGGCCACGTGCCAGCCCCGCCAGCCCAGCAGCAGAGGGCCCAACGAGTCCAGGTGCGACCGCGCGGTGCCGCAGAGCTGCCACACCCCGCGCCCTGGTTTGGACGGGTTTGGTGTCGCGGGTCTCCGGGGCAAACGGAAACGCGGAAACCCGTGTCCGGTCCAACCACACTTGGAAAAAAACAGCTGACATCTGAAAAATACCTGGCAAATTGGGGGTGCTTTTTGAAATGGGAAAAAAAGGGACCAAGAAGAACAGTTCGGTTTCCAGGGGCGAGGGTTTTTGGGGCCGGTGAAAGGGGCTTGAACATGGACAGGGTTGAGTTCGAAGAGGTTGGGAGGAAAATGTCTGCACCATGGGATGTTCAGCTTCCCACCCTGGATAAGTCGTCTCAAGCTGGGGATCGAGCCGTTGCCTTTTTTGGCAGGGAGGAATCAGGGTTCAAACTGATTTACCAGTACAATTCCGAATCGTCCCCGAAACCCTCGTTGATCCCCTGTGAGAACCGGCAAAGAAATGCCGATGCTTGAAACGTGAAACCCCGTTTTAGGTCAAGAAATTGTTGGAAGCACAGAAGTTTGGTCTCGAAACAAACGGCACACCCCACACCCCACGGTCCCCCTACACCCACCCTCCCGGCGCATCGAGACGGCCGCCTGTCTCCCGGAACTCTTCCGCCAGGCGCTGCAGCGGCTGCCAGGCGCAGCCGGGGCAGTCCTCCGGCGCGCTGTGCGTAGGGGGGGGGGGGGGGGGGGGCCCGGAAAGCGTTTTTAGCCCTGGCAGGATCTAAACACCCAGAACGCAGTGACGAACCAAAAAAAAGTCCAAAAAGCATTTCCAACACGCGGTAAAGGTGTTGAATTCCCAAGGCCGTCTCAGCCAACAGTGGAAGCATGTCTAAATCGCGGGTTCGGAGAACAAAGAGCGCATCTCAACGAGGCCTTTGTACACAAAGCCGGTGGCTTTCCTTTGGTCAAATTTATCCTTTGCAGCACACCTCGACAAAGGCCCTCTCAAGAATGACACGCCCCGGTGCCTCTTTGAAGCTGCGGGGGGTGATTCTTCCCAACATAATCTTCTTTGTTTGCAAATAGGAATCCCCGATACAAACGAACACAAGTTTCTTGCCAACCCAGGAGGGAGGTGGTTGAAAGTTACGAACAGTTCCTCATGAATACCCACTTTTGAACCCAACTCCACTGGTAGTCTCAAAAGAATCGAGAGACTTCACAAACACCCCCTCTTTTGGGTGAAGCAAAACTAAGAGGAGACCAACCACCCTGCCCCGAAAAGGTGGTTTTCCCCGTGGACCCACCCCAAAACAATTACCGAGCCTGACACAGAGACAAACCCAACCCATTTCACCAGGGTGCGTCCTATTTTTCCGTGGACCCCCCCAAAAAAAAAGAAACGTTGTTTTCCTTTGGGTGTCCCTTTAAAAACCACCCCAAAAAGGGCAAAAACTCCAAAAACTGACACCCGCCCCTCCCAGATCCTCCCCACCCGGTTCCTGGGGCTCGTCCACGACCAGCCGACCAAAGGCCGCGCTGGTTCCCAGGGCCCCCGCCGCCTCGTAGTCCAAGACCTTGCGCCAAGGGCGGCTTGGAAAGGGAGGGATGCGCTTGGCCTTGCGCTCGCGTCTTTTGTTGGAGATTCTTCGTGTTGCTTGCGTTGGTTCTCGGTTGCGCTGTTTCTGGCTTGGGCTTTTTGTTGGAGATGCAACGATGCGCGCGCGCCGATGTTCTCTTGGTGCTTCTTGCTCGAAGAGGCAAAGCTGAGCGAACGGAGGAAAAAGGGAAGACATCACCAAGCATCCGAAAGGAAGAAAATAAAATCGGCCACCCACCCACCCACCAAGCCACCCACTCACCCACCCACCCACTCACTCCCCCTTCCCCCACCACCCACCCAACCCCAGGTAGGTCGATGAGAACCCCTTCGATCAGAAGATATTAACTGGAGAAAACACTTAGGTTGGACCAAAAGGCCCCAAAGCAGCTTCCTCCAAAATCGAGGATTTGGTGGGGGGTCTAGGATACTCATGAGACTAGGTGAAGTCTGTAACATTCAATGATGCGCCCTTCCCTTCGGGAACCTTCACTTCATGGGGCCCGAAACCCCAGGCGTCGCTTGATGCGCGCCTCCGCCGCGTGAGCAGCAGATTGCCCCCGCAGCTCCTCCAACCACTGCTGCCGCAGATGCGCCGGCGCCACGATCCTCAGGCGAAAAACAAAAACGTGAGGCAAGGGCAAAGGTGTCAGAGACTGGTTCCCCTTGCAGTCATTTGAGAAGTGCGCGGTTCTTCCGTTGACGTTTACCCGCCAAATTAACATGGAACCCAAGAACGGAGAGATTCTTCCACAAATTGGTGTTTTTGGGGTTCCATGTTAATCTGCAGGATAGTAGTTCTAATTGCTTCTAAAGGTTTGATGCTTGGTTCTACCAACATGCTTATGAAGGCTCATGTAGGCCTTACTATAGTCCTTGTTCAACCAAGTAGGAACTGAATCACCTACACCTGTTCGGATCGTTTTTTTGTGCTTTTCAAATGGTCAGGCGCCTCCATCTTGTTAGATGCCTCCAACTAGTTGGACTTTGGTGAGCCTCGATCTTATGGTAGTTTGGTGAGGCCAAGCCGACATAGGGCACCTAGGTCTCAGGTGGTGTGCCCATTTCAGGCCCGAAAAATACCTGGAGACAATATAGACTCCTAGAGATACTGTAGAGGTTCTACATAGTTCTAGCCAAATATTCAGCAGGTGTCCCTCAACTGATGTTGAATTCATTTTCGGCGCCTTTGGTTCTTCGCCTATCCGCAGGGATTTATTTTGAAGATGTTGGAGGTCACACCTACAATATAAGTCGACGTGACAAATATTGACACACGGCGTAGGCAATCCAGCCCATGCAAACCGGCAAACAGACAACTCACCCGCAAGGCACTCTTGAAAAACAGAGGGGAAGAACTTTTCGGAGTGCAGGTACAATCAAGGAGAACAAGTACACGTGTTCACGATCACGTTTCTATGATATCCACATAGTCCAACCATTCCCCATCGCATCCGTACCAGTTTTGGCGCCAGGTTCATCTTTTGGTTTGATTGGGGGATATCAAAGGGCACGTGCTCATGATCGCGGGTTGCAGGTCCGCAAAAGTGATTGGGTCCCCACTGAAGTTGGCCCCACCCTCGGTGAACAGCAAGGGAAAAGCAAAGGAAATGTGCCTTTTGTGGCCAACTCCTTCCTATCCTTCATAGGCCACTCTGTGTGACCCCTTGTGCCACCTTGGGGTATGCGGCACCCCCAAAAAAAGACCCTTCCTCCTGGCTCCCATGTAAGGGGGACGGTTTGTTGGCCAGGCCGCAGCGTGGCACAGCCGCCCTTCAGCGCCTGCGAGGAATTGGATGCCAGCCGTCTAGCTGGTGGATCATTCTGGGAGAGTTCTTGGTTTGGTGGGTTAGAGAAACCTGTTTTTGCTGTTGGTGTTGCTGTTGGGTGCTCTTTTAGAGTCGGGAGGGGGGAGTGTTCTTCTTTTGGAGGGTTTTTTGTTGGTGGTTTAACGTCATGCGCTTGGTGGTGCTCAGATTTGGATTGAGACTAACCTAGAGGTTGCGTTCCCTTGTTGGGGCAAAAGATGGGTTTCGGTGAGCCAAACATCGTTTCAGCTGAGCCGCATTTCTGTTGCCTTTGGGAATGGAACCCATGTCCCAGAAAGGGGCCAAAAGGACCACCCACCCTGTTGAGGTTGGAAGAGAAGTTTGTTCAAGCCCCTTGTTCCCACACAAGCCACGGACCCGAAACCACGGGCCCAGAGGAAGCATTGGAACGCACGGGAGTTTTGCTTTGGGGAAACCTAGGCTCACCCTCAAACATGGTTGGTGGAGATATCATTTATTCTATTTTATCGCCATGTGGGCGCCAGGTTCCTCTACACATATGTTTCCTTGCTTGGGGTTGGAGGAACCATCGTATTTTTGAGCGTGTGGTTCTCTTTGTGAGGTGGTATGCTTTTTAGGCCGACACGTGGTGCTTTGAGGAGCTAGAAAGTCAGCCGCACCATCCCCCCCAAAACACACACACCTCCTCATCCCCATGGGTTCCAATCTCGCCCCATCCGGAACTCCGGGCTCATGCCTCAAATCTTCACATGTCAACTTCAGCTTCCGCGCAACCGCGCGGCACCTGCCACGCAGTCCGCACCTCAGCCCGCCGAAGCGGAGCCTGGCCCGTCGAGGGTCACTGCCAATTCGACGCTTCCGCCCATTCGATGCCTACCGAGCAACTCGATGCTCGGAACGCAGAGGGGCCTCTTTCGCGTGATTCCTATTCCCCCGCCACACGCCCACGCATATTTTCTCGCACGCATTCATTCTTTCATCTTATCTGTGCCCAAGACCGCCTTTCAACTAGTGTCCGTAACAAGTTCCTTCTAAACTTCCTTTGCAGATATAGGGGCCTGTCCCATCGACTTCGCATCTGGCAAACCCGTGCCTGGCGCTCATCCCCGCAGGTAAGCAGCCAACGAAGCCAGGAAGCCTCGGTGCGAATGTCGGAAGTGGAATCACTCAAAATGCGTTTGGTTTTGATTTGAAAAACAAATCGAACCCAACGTTTGATTTGCACACTTAAAAGCCATGTGCTTTTCTTCCACCCCCATGACTTTTACATGTATACCCCTAGGTTCGAACCTGGAAATTGTGGTTTGGATGGGTGGCATGGGGGTCCCGAAACCCGCTGACTTCGGGCCCTGCGCACTCGTAATTGTTGCATTGGGCTGACTTTAACCACCGTACCATAAGACCAGGGTAGAACCATAGAACCATCTACTAAAATGGCCAATCAAAGCTTGGGTGCCACTCAGCCGGGATGGCTTTGTCCCGCCATCCCGTGGTTGGCACGTCCACACAATGAAATGTGCATTCAATTGCTAGGGGGTGAAGTCGCTAAAGTAGCTGACTGACTGGCAAATAGCCGAGCTTGCTCACCAGCTGGCTGTTTGAGTCCCCATGAAGCCCAATACTTCTTCGAGGGCCAGGCAGCATAGCCCTCAGCGGGGCCTGGAAGTGGGGGAGACTTGTGACTGGTCAGGATTTTCAGCGTCTTGGGTGGGGGTCGGGATCTTCCAAGAGGGAATTTGGAGGATTGGGTGAGGAGCCCTAGATTGGAGTGTGGCAACCCCTCCTTTCTTTGAGTGGCAAAAAGCCGGACAGGGCCCCCAAAAAGATCACCGTGCATTTTGTGACACCCCTCGGCCTTTCAAAGCACCACAATGAGCCTGGCCCAACGCGTGACACATATACAACTGTCATAAGCCGACAACTCAAAATCTGCAAGGATGCTTGCCTTGTGGCTGAAGGGCCCCCAACCCAGTTGCTTTTGGACACCAAAGAGCGAATCTTGCCCCCATCCCAATAGCCACGTGCTCCTGATCGCCTATCCCAAACCATATAGGCTGAATCCTTGCAGATGCAAATACATACATACATATACATAAACATGTATATATATATATATGTATACATGTACACAGATATAGGTATGTGTTTACTTGTTTATGTATTGATCTACCTACGGCATATGAGGGGACACATATGGGAGGCATGTACCGAAGGTGTAGCACTTCATCATTCGTCATTGGCCAGGCTGAGACCCCTCAATCCCTGAATATAGTTGTCGTCCCTTTTGCCTCATTGGATGTCCGCCTCAGATTCTTACGGATTTGGGCCTGTCGATGCTTTGCCACCCTGGTTTTGGGGATGTTACTTCTGGACTTTGTAATTGCCAAATTCCCTCCGCCGCGACCAAAACCTTTTTGGAGAGTGGAACCCTCTGGGTTCAGAATCCGTTCGGCACACTGCCCTGTGAGGTTCCATGATTGGAGGGGCCGTCTGAAAAGGACAACCCTGAAAGCTGTTTGTCACCACTCATATACTGATTCAGAGCCAACTGGCAAGGGAAGCGATAGCAGCCGAATACTGACTATTGGGGGCCATAGAAAGGATGACTGCGAGTTAGTGGAAAGCTGATTCAGAGGAACCCTTAGTTGAGTTATAGTTCCATGTCTGTCAAAACCATAGAGTAGGAAAGGACCCTCTGGGGGCCAGGTGGTGGGAATTACCAGTGAAAGGCCTTCCAGTATCACGGAAGTAGTTGCAACGCAAGGCGATTCCCACAACCCCCATACCCAAAATCATCCATTCGCCTAAGTCCCCTGGAAAACAAAAAAAAACATGTCCATTGGAGACAGGTTCCGTTTAAAATCAACAGGGGAAAAAGATATTCTTAAGCAAGCGCCAGACACCCAAGGCAATGCAGTACAAAGGGACTCTGCCTTCCGCCCCCCGCCCGGCGGAGCATCCAAACGGCCCACCTGAGGTCTCGCGAACCAGGGCCGCTATGATGCGGGTCTTGCCTGAAGAGGAAAACAACACCCACATCCTCACCGCCCGAAGCAACCGCCTGTAGCCTATAGTGACTCATGTTGAAATACAGGGTGACTGGCCAACTGATGCTCATTTCCCAGCCGGAAAATCTCAGGACCATATCCCACCCGACACCAACTAGTTTGGTGAATTCAAAGCTCCAACCACCCCCCTCCCAACGCAACCACCTGTGGCAGTCACGCTTGGGCTTTAATTTCTTAAATGGCCCCGGAACAAGACCTGGGTATGTGTCAAAATAGGGGGAGCCCAACAATGGTGCTCTCCCTTTTAACCAAGGTGACAAGCAGACCAAGTTCAACCAAGCCTCAAAACCCCATGGCCCAGACCTCCGCACCTCCCCCTCCCCGGACGGGTTGGAACCGAGTCGCCTGAGCCGGGGGGGTGCGCGATCACCCCCCCGCAGGGCAGCTGCAGCTGGTAGCTCGCGCCCAGCGCGACCCCCGCGAAGCGCAACGGCTCCACCTCCCGGACAACATTACTTGCATTTGTATTTATGTACCAAAATGATTTATTACATTGGTTTGTTTACGGTCCAGTTATTTACTGATTACTGTCCGCGAGTGCTATGATTGATCTCTGTTCTTATTTAGTTTGTTCATATATTCATGTGTTTACTGATGTATGCTCTAAATGTATTTGTTTGTCCATTGAGCTGCTTCATTTGTTTGTTTACTCATCTATTTATGCATATGCATATATGTGTATTTGTTCATGTATCGATCTATTTGCGTTATGTATTTATGAAATGTACTATTCATTTGAGCCATGTCTTAAACCTGTCATGATTTGCCATGTCGTATCATTCTGCTCACCCCACCAGCTTACGCCACCTTACGCGCGTGGAGTGTTTGCTTATGCGACACATTTGGAGGCTTTGCTTACGCCACCAGCTCACGCCACCTTACGCGTGTGGAGTTGTTGCTTACGCACAGGTTGATATGACATGACTCTTACTAAACATGTACATGGAGGTTTCAGACGCCGCTCAATCTGGTGATTCATTTCTGTATGTATGTGTTTACCTACAGAATTGTGTATTTATTTAGATGTATGCTCAGTTGTTTGTTTAGTTACTTATGAATTTCATGTTTTTGTATTTAGCGATTTATGTGCTTATGCTGCTTATTTTATTTATCTATCTACTCATTCATACATGTTTTGATTCATTGACTTAGTTAGCTATCTATCTAACTATTCATTGATTTATTTGTTTATGGACTTGCTATTTATGCATTTATTCATGTAATTGCTTTACGTACTTATGTCTTTACCCAATTACTTCAATATGAATTCAATTTTACCCATGTATGTATATGCAGAAAGGGAGTGAGAAATATTTGTGAGCATATTCACGATATGCTAACATGTGTTTGATATGTCTAATTGTTTTGACTCTGGCTCTTTCGGGCACCACTCAAGCTTGCTCCTTTGGGTGGTTCAAGCGGGCCCCACATTTTCATCTTGCAATCGCGTGCCTAAGAGGGCCTCATTCTACTTAACCCTCGAAGCAGAGCAGATTAACGTGCCACGAAAAAGTGGAGAATGCCCACCAATCATGTCCGAATAGCAGGCAAAATGAAAGCCAAACAAAACGTGAATGGAACACGCCTTCGTTGGGTAGTGACGAGGGTGCCCATTACATATGATAGCGGCAATTGGCCATACGGTGGGTTTCGTCAATGTTGCCCAAGACGGAGAACAGTTCACCCAAACTGAAACGTGTGACCAGCCTCTGCTTCTATCAAAAAGACAAAACCATCTGCGCAAAAACTACAAGAACTCATTCACCACCAGCCGGACATTAGGAACCCTGCGAAAAAACCCTGCAAAAAAGCACCACCAGAACCCAGACGGAAGAAGAACCTTGGACCGCATCGCTCGTCGCGAACGCGTCCTACGGAACCATGGCCGCCTGCAGCTTCTCCACACCCCGGCGCTCGATGCGCTGCATCCACTCGATGGTGGCAGCCTCGCTCAGAAACGCCGCGGTTGCCCTGTGGGGCTGAAAGATCCAAAATGAGTACCGGCCGTATACAAGGATCTTAAGGATGCGAAAGATGAAGCTGAGTTTCAACCGTCTACAGTTGATTCTGGCAGCGGTAAGATATGGCGAGGTATGTGCTTTGCCTACTCTGCATGCGGTGTTGACAGGGATACCCACCCGCCCTGCCAGTGGCCAAACACGCGACTCAAAACAGGGGAGGACCTGGGGGGACCACAAAATAGCCGGCTTCATATGTGCCATGGTCAGGCCTGGAAAACGGAAACCTTACAATGGTTGTCTCAAATCCCTAGGGAGTCCATGACAATCAACCCAACATAGCCAGGTGTTTCAATCTTGCATCCCTTGAGCAGAATATTCAGATTGATGCCTCCACCTCAAAAATCCCACCCCCAAACCACGGCCCAAAAACCTGTTGGTCTTGTTGGAGGCGCTTGTGAACAGCAAGTCCGAGGTGTTTTAGTTGATCATGTCGCCACAGCTCCAAATGAGATTCTGTCAACGGACCAACAACTCAAACAAAACACTCTCTGATGTACAAACATGTATTCATGCAGAAAACAGCAAAACACAGAAAAACACGTGTAGACCCCCAAAAACGCGGACCCTCCAAGACTCCCGCAACCCCGGGCGTTTGGACACGCCTGGTGCGGGAAAAGCCCATCGGTTCCGTTGCTCTCGCGCTCCGCCTCCGCCGGCCTTGCGGTCGAGACCGACACGTCGCTTCGCATGAGGCTCCGAAAAGGATTACCCCCCCTCCCGCCAACAATCACAGAGGTTTTGCGAAGACTTCCAAAAACCTATGGCACGTGTATATTTTGATATGCATCTACCAGTTTTGTGAGCGACTGGCTTCAACAATCATAGAAGCTGACGATCGGAGTTGTTTTGGCAAACTGCCCCGGAAAACGCTCCCTGATTGGGAAGCTAGTCCTGGATGTCCGCAAGCCCGTGCACAAATTCCTCTCAAATCTCAAGATCTACATCGATGTCCCAACTGCGCGGAAGCCGCTTGATGAGATAGGTGTTGTGCCCCTAGTTGGGCTGCAACTCTGTTTGGAAGAAAAACCAGTCACAAACTCGCCGTCGGAAACCAAAAGGCTTGCAATTTGGTTGCAATTCAAATAGCAACGAAATGGAATGCCATCTCCGTGTTGCTCCATGGACCCTCAAGGAAACGAATGGAACAACCAATCCAACTGTCCACCCCATGTGTTGATTACTCTTCAGAGGCTCGGAGCAACCATGTTTCAACAACAACCAAACAAAGACGTTCCGCCAAAGGTTCAAAGGTTGTCTTCCCATTCGTTTCAACCAAAGGGTTGTTGGACATCTCTAAAAGGAGCCGAGCAACCCGGACACAAGGAAACGACCAAGTCGTGTTACTCTCACTTTGATAAATGCTGAATAAGTTGCATCAAAAAGAACAAGAACAAAAAAGAAAAAGAAAAAAAACGAGGGATTGGTGCCCCAGTTTTGGCTTTGGTGGTTTCCAGAAGCAGTGAAAGTAATTCGGCAGGCTTCAAAAGTTCCGTGGGAGGTCGACTCTCTACACTGTCTGGGGAGGAGAGAAATGGAAAAGTGTGTGATGAAAACATCAGGTCTCCAACTGTGGAGGCAAACTTCCGGGAGTTTTCCAGACTGTCGAATGATTTGAACGTATTCTTCCACCGGCAATTCGGCAAATGCACACCGAAGGCAAACCATACCGGCTGCATCAAGGTTGGTGTTGCTACCGCCCTTGTATTTTCCCCTAGGGGTCCAGCCCGTCTGGCGGTGATGGAAACCGTCCTTGTACACCAAGGATATTTATTTGGGGCTTCCGTTGTAAAAGCAGGTGGCACCTTTGCAAAAATCCTCAGTTTTTGCGGTGTCCCATTTGCAACCAAACTTTCTAGTCCCCCCGCCCCCCCTTGTCAATTAAAAAACGCAACGGTTGTGAGTGTCTTTTTACCCAACCCCGAGGTATTTCGATGTCCCACAGAGACTCCCCCAATCCCTGGCCGGCAGGCACGCCTCTGTAAGAGGCTCTCCACCACCTCCCCAGAGATCACCTGTGGGCGATCTCAAAGTCTGGTGGATTCGACATCCGCCACTTGGCCATGGGTCAAAATCCAAATCGCACCCCCAGTGAACATCCCAATCCCCACTAAAATACGCTAAAATGGGCGGTGCACCTACCCCAAAATGGTGCCATTGGTTTTGACCCACAGCCCCTTGTCGTGGATATTCTTTTTTACGACCGTTTCCAGAGTAAGGTCCTCAAAAAACATTGCACCCGTTGATTTGAAAGTCCTCGGCATTTCGGGGAACCCCCAGTTTGCCACCATTTACACTGTCAGAGTGTCACTTGGCGTGTTCCTTGGTGTCCCTTCCTCGAAAACATGAGGACTCCGTGTTAAACAAACTGCAATCCATCTAGGTTCAGACTGACCTGCAAGGACGCCTACGGAGATAGACTTCCATGCTTGACAATGGTGTTGCCCTATTAGGCAACCATGGCCTGCGAAGACTTTTGATTGGGACCGCCCCGTACTAGCCCTCATTTACCTGGTTCATTTAAAGAGACACACCCATATAAGCCGTTTGTGGAACCTCACCCAACAACCACCTAAAATGCGGGTCCTCGATCTTTGGGCGTGGTTGTTTGTGTTGTACTAGCATTTTGGGAGCTGGGCTGGTGCCCCTTTTTTGGGTGTAGAGCTTTGAGACATACTTTAGTTGTCTTACATCCAATAAAAGACCCCTGCTTTACTCTGTTGCTCTGACATGGGTCCTTTGTATCTTCTTCAAACAACATGCCTACTTTTGAGAGACACAAACCCCAGTAGATCCAGATACCCCTAAAGTAGGATACTGAGGGAAACTAGTTAGACAACCAAAGGTCCCCCATCCCCATCCCTCCAAAAATAATCATCACTTAAACTCGGTTGCTTTCTGCTCCCCTGCTAAAAATTTAACCTTTAGTGGCTTAATGGAGAACCCATTGGTTGGCAAAAACTTAAAGTCCTAACATCCAAGCAACATGCACCAAAGAACACATGCTCCCTTCACCAAAATACACGGGCGCCGACTCAACAAATGCTGCCCAACCCCTCCGCTCGCCGCCTTCCGCCGCCCCTTGACTTCCCCGCCTCGCCGCTGCAGGGCCACTTGGCCGCGCAGGGCGAGGCCGCGGCCGCATGCAGAAAGTCCAACAGCCGCTTCCGCTGCACGCCTCGCCGCACCGTCCCAACCAGCCATCCAACCGGGGCTACGTCCCAACCAGGGCGCGCAAAAGAAAAAAACCCGTTCCCTCCCATCCCCCCCAAGCTTCGACTTGGCGCGCCTCCCTCGGCATGGACAAGGCTCTGGGCCACTGCGGCGGCCGCCTGAGGTCGTCCCTCTCTTTGGATCTTGCTCTGCGGGAGTTGTGTTCTTTTGGCTCTTCCAGAGCTTTGTTGGGAAGTGGGCTCGAAAGTCTTTTCGTGGTTTGCGCGAGTACTAAGCGATGCGACCGCTGAGCCCCGGCAAAACTTCAATCACCGGTACATTCGCACATGCGCGCTGCAAAAATACGTTCGGGCCCCCAGGCCACCTGCCTTCTAGTTGTCTACCACTAAAACAACCTATGTTCAAAGCGCATGGGGCAGTGAGGCGTCATGAGCTTGCTCCATCCACAAGCTTCGAATGCTCGTCTGTTCAAATGACTGACTTTCTGAGTTGATGTAGAATTAGCGCTGGTCTCAGTGTGCTTCCTGTAAGACGAAGCATGCCGTTTAGGGACTGGAACTGCGTTTCCCTCTCCGCTGAAAGGGTCCAGGACTTTCCCGGCAAGCAAGTCTTCAAATGCACCTTGACCCTACCTCTTGCGTCCAACCCACAAAGCTGAAACACCCAAATCCGGAATGAAGAACTGTAAAGTTCCAGACCACAAAGGCGCGCAAAAAAGATCCAACAAAGAATAAAAGACATGGCCCAGCAGAAGTCGTGTCCTGGCTTTGCATACAAATGGAAAGTGGAAATTGGGGAAAAAGAGCATGAACAACATCGGTACCGTTCGAGAAACAATAGAAACACAACGCCGGAGAACACGTTGGGTCCTTGTTTCGACTAACCCTCGCTAGAACCCCGGCCTTGAGGGCACCCTTTCAAGTCAGGGACCCCAGCAAAGACCCCCCCGCCCAATCGATCTCCCAACCATTGTCTTGCTGGCTCGGGAATCACCCAAGGATTTGGGCGGTCCCCTAAAGGAAACCACCATGGCTATCGAACCAGCAAGTTCTTTTGGAGGTCTCATTTTGCTTCGGGCGGTCCGCAGGGTCCCGTCGAGTGAGCGCGAAATCTGGGAATTGCTGTGACCAACGGATGCACCCATCTCCCCCGCCAAACTTGTGCGTTCTAAACTGGAGGCTTTTCTTTTGTGGCGGCGTAGCGCATACGAGCCGCATGCGTGCCGCACGCGTACGCAATGCGCGGGGCCTGCTCGTCCACCACCATGACCAGGCGCACATCACCCTCGAAGCCCGGGATGGCAAAGAGCCGCAGCGTGCCTCGCGCGCGCCGCACGAATGGCTCGAGACCGCACGGAGGGCTGCCAGATGTCAACTTCCCGCTAGCTGATAGTTTTGGATTTCCCACTTCTGCGCCTCCCCGGCACTTCCCTCCCCCACCCATCTCCCCCCAACTTCCCGTCCCAACCTCCCCCCAAACCGCCCCCGTCGAAGCCTCCCCCAAGACCAAGTCCCCCCCCCCCCCCCGTCGCGCCTTCGCGGATGTCCTCGAAGTCCAGGCGCTGCACCACCGAGGGCGCCAGGCCATACCGCAGCTCCGCGAAGACCTGGCGACGAGCTCGAGCTCCGGCGAGGCGGCGAGGAGCGGACCCCCCCAAAACGCGCGGCCGGGGGGAGGGACCTTCCAAAAAAAGGGGACCAACCAAGCGCGAGTCACTGGCATGTGTGGTAGTGCAACTATGATGTTGCCCCTAATGGTCATTGAAGAGGAAACTATCGACTTGACATTTGACTTTCACATGCCTCCAAAATATAACTGTTTGTTTGTTTATTTGAATGAGGCCAGCACGAACATGGGAAAAGCAAGAGGGGAGTGGAACAGAGCCCCTACAGTATTTCCTGGGTCTGCTTCACTGGAAACTCTTGGACTCCCCCGGTAATAACCACGCACCCCTGAAAAAAATACCGAAGCTTCCATTGGTGAGGGGTTGAGTCAACAAGAAATCTTTGCCGCCATCTAAAGAGCCAACCATGTAGGCACATTGCCTTTGCTGGCCATCACCTCCAATTCCACCATGGAATATCAGCATGATTTGGGTGTCTGTTTGGAGTCGGGTACCCTTTGTGGGGTGGTGTTGAAGGAAAACCAAAGGGGGCCATCTTTCTGGTTCCACATCCAATTTTGGAGACGAACCTTTGAAAGACTCTGTGGTTGTGCAAGTCAAAACGAATTTATCATGGCTCACTGCAGGAGCGAGGAGAAACCTTCCGCCATTTGGGGTGGCGCTGATCCTCGCCGTGCCGCATGCCACCCCCTTGAAGAAACAAAAAGAACCAGGGCGTCAACTTGAGAACATCAAATGCGGGCAAAGGCATACTGGGATGCTCAGCCTTACGGTCCAGCCAGAGGTATACTTGGGAGGTTACTTGCAGCCATGGCAATAACCTCAGCTTGACCATCCGAAGTGATGATCAAAATTTATGTGTGTGTGTGTGTGTCTGTGGATGTGTCAAAGCGACGCTCATGCCTCGTTGCTGATGAGCGCCGGCTCGGGAAAGCCTCGGGAACGGTTCGCCGAGCGCGTTGAGTATCTGTCTGTTGATGATACCACTAGTCATTGTTATTAGCATTTATTATCATTATAATTATCAGCATTATTCTGATTATTATTGACATGCTCGTTCCTGCGACAAGTGCCAATATGATCATTGTAATTATTGTAGTTATGATGGCCGCAAAAACATCACCAAGGGGATCTTCCAGACGCCCTCCTTCTGGATCCAAAGCAAGCCGATCCTGCTGTAAAGGGTGGTCAAGCAAAGGGGGTCGGTCTTGTTCAGGGTTGCGCCCATTCGACCCTGGAAGAGAACACTCGCCCTTGCAAAAACCTCCCAACATGGGTTGGGACACAGGGCCCTTTTGGAAAAGTTCAAACGTGCAAAACTCGGTGGGGGTGGGCTGTGTTCCCAAGGAATTCAATATGGAAAACAAATTCTTCGCCATTTTGTACCCTCCTTTCTTCCTTGTTTCAAGGGCATGTCCAAAGGTATGGATGCTTGCATACCACCAATAAAAACTCGCAAAGCAGAACTAGCCACACCTGCAAATGCGCCTGATTCCATTATTTCAGCCTTTTTTTCCATGTCTCCTTTCCAGAGTGTTGCACCTTCCTCTCTTCCTGTCTTTTGCTAGAACCCCAACATGGTGAACTGGTGTCCCTTGGGTTTCCCTTATTAATAAAAAAAAAAAAAAAAAAAAAAAAAAAAAAAAAAAAAAAAAAAAAAAAAAAAAAAAAACGGGGCCCCAACAAACACCATAGTTAAATAATAACAATACTAAGACTGCTAATAATAATAATAACTTTAATAATGATAAACAGGGGCATCCCATTTTGCCTCCATGTCCATGTGTTTCCCCTCTTTCCCCTTGTGCCGTCCCTTTAAAAACACGAGGGGCGCCAACTCCAAACCGCTCGCCGAGCGCTTGGCCCAGCTCTGCGTGCAGCTCCCGGCGCGGCGCCTGCAAGAAGCGCCCCTGGCGTCGGAATGATGGCGCCCACGTAAAAACACGATGACACGAGGACATATTATAACTCATATCTATGTAGTTATATATATATATATATGTATGGTATTTATATATATATATATATATGTCAATATGTCACGTGCATAGATATGAGTGTGTATATATATATATGTACGTGTAAAAACATATATGCGGTAATTGCCTCTTGGAGCCATAGCTAACGGAAACCAACCGGATCGCATACATGTCTCCAGTGCTTGATCGTCTTTATAGCACCGGTCAAAGCCAGTCCGCATGAAACCAACCGTCTCATCCTCCAGCGCCTTCCCAGCCGAATCCAGCAAAATCCATCCACCGGAAATCTCCCAACAACAGAAACTCTAGTCAACAAAAGCTCCTTGAAAGGCCGTCCTTTTTGTTCCAACTAAACCAAGCCCCACCAGAAACCAGCGGAAACCAGTGGAAACCAAGCAAAACTAGCACATTTCTTTTCGTTCGCACCTTCAAACCCAACCCGCTCCACCCAAGTGGCCAAGCACGATGCATGGCATCGCGACCTCCAATCGGAAATCACCCTGCCAAAGTGGGATTCCCATCCCCATGACTACTTTGTCGCTCGCAAGGGGATTCCCTTGGCACTCACAGGTCTAACAGCAAGTTCAAGCGGAAAAAAAAGAGAAAAACAACTCAAAATAATAAAAAGGATATATATATATATGTACATGAAACTCAAGTAACCAAAACAAGCAAAACAAGCTGCACTGTACAAATATATGACGAACATGTTTGGAAAATATATTTCTCAACCAACAATCGTGTGTGCATGTATATATGTTTATACACATATGATAAGTATGGTTGGAAAGAATCATGGTAAACAACAAACAACTTGCTATTGTTTTTCAAAGTTACTGAAATCGCAATAAACAAACTATGTATACAACAAAAACTACAGAAGATCCGCAGCGCGAGAGGACTCTCTTTTTCTGCAACTCCTTGTAAAATTGCCCGGCGGCCAAGCCCCAGCCTTGCTGAGGCGCAAAGAGTGGGGCGGCAAGACCAGGGGCCTCGCCACAAAGCCGCCCTCCTCCGGCAGCTGGGCCTCGGGGTGATGCAGGGGGACTTGTTCTCCGCTTGGCGATCCAACCACCCCCGGTTTCTGATGGGAGTCTTTTGCTTTTTTTGCATGGTTCAAAAAGTATCGGCTTGTTGCTTGTGTCTTCTTCGGTGACCTCTGGGTGTCCATGGGAAACCCTCCAAAAGGGCTCTTGTGTTTTGTGTAATAATGGGAAACCTACAAAGTGGGCGTTGCTGCCCTTTGGTTTTCCCTCTCAACTTTGGAAACTGGTACCCGCAAAGAGGGTATACGTGCCCTTCGTGGAGTTGGCAGCTCGAAAAGGGCTGCCATTCAAACGCAAACCACAGTCAGGGAGTGTTTGGCACAAGCTGCCATAGCCAGGAAACAAACATGGGTGGTTTCCTTTGAGTTTCCGTTAAATTTGGTTTAAAGAAAAAAAATGCAAACCCCGAATCCCGTCTCAACCAACACGAACACCTAAAAGCCCTAAACCGTCCCCACAACCCAAAACCCGCCCTGGACCTACACTCTCATAAACTAAAAAAAGCAGCAGGTTGCACTCATGCAAATAGATCTGACATGTAAGAAACACATCAGTGTACGAAACACATCAGTGTAAGAAACACATCAGAGTAAGAAACACATCAGAGTAAGAAACACATCAGTCTTGGGCCAAACTCTTTTGGGATCAGACCTTTGTTTGGGGCCCCTTCCGTTAACTTGCTGGACGCATCCTTCACAAGCAGAAACCGATCAAACCCAAAACACACCCAAAAGCAATGATGTCAAACCAAAAGAACGCACAATGGAACAAACACCAAAAACGAGCGACAAACAATGACACGCACCTCCAACCCCAAACCGGGCGAGAAGCAAAGCGGAACGAGCAGAAGTGTCTCTCCAGGTGCCGGGATCCGGGCGCGTAAGGCCTCTGGCAGCGGTGGCGCGTCCTGGCGAGGAGGCTTCTTGAGGTGCCGTGTAGGTTCATGGCTATGAACACTGCGAGCAACTGAGATATGACCCAAGTGACAACTGAGATAGTATCATATAGTGGCAACTGAGATATGGTGACAACTAAGATATGAAAACATACACATATGTGTCCGTTGTTTGGGGTGCTTCCAAGTACCATGGGGAACAGAGTTTGAACCTTGGGTCTGGAAGCTTGACCAGGGTTGAAAACTCTTTTAGAAGATGGGAAACGAGGGAATGACCCCCATCTTCAAGCGAATGTCCGGTCTGGCCAACGGTCCAACCCATGGCCTGCCGAGGATAGCAAGGCTTGCGCCGGGAGACATCTATGCAGCCCATCTAAACATACCCTATGCCAGTGATGTCCGCACTCAAAGCTTTTCTTTCCGCCGACCTTCAAAACAGCCCCACGCGTCGCCCGCATCCCCCAAGGCCGGCGCCCTGAAAGCAGAAGCCCAGAAGATGCCCCAGCCTCGACTACGGCTCGGTGCCCGAACCAATCGGGTCAACTTCTGGCCCCCAAGGCTGGGCGCTAAATGTTCCAACAAATTGGATGCCACACATGCTTGGCCGGTGGCGATCGCAACCGGTGAATTGGAGCCCGTTTGAATCAACGGGTCCCCAGCCAGTCCAAAGGCGTACAATAACAAATGACACACGCTCCAAGCCATGACCCACGTAGGCACAACAAATGCGAGTTCCTTCAAAGGACATGGGAGACCATGCGTGTGTCGTCCCAAAAGAGTGGAATGGAGCCCTGGCATGTGGCTGTTTTGTGTGGTCGAAATAAAATGTGACGGCTCATGCCTATCCAAAAGAACTATACCTTGACTGGGTTTTCGATTTCCCAAACTTCCCATCACCCAAAGGTCAAAAACTGAAAATGCATCGAATTGGAGCATGGGTAGTGTAGAATGACTTAGGCTATTTTTTGGCAGGGCATTGGAAAACCCCTCTCGTTTGTCCAAGATCAAGATCAGGGCGTTTTCTAGACGCAAAGACCAGCGCGGCGTGGGTCGGAATGCGAATCGATGCCATAGATGGCGCAAGTTCATTTGAATTCAAAGCACCTCTACCCGGGAAGTCCGAGGATGTACCAAAAAAAATGTACAGGGGACATCCAGGGCACATGCCCGAAATACATCCTTACATATGGCGGATGTTTGTTTTGCGTGGGTTTGCGCTAAAAAGCATACGCCCAGGTGATATCCCCAACAGCAACCATCTAACCGGTTGACCCACGAAATCTGGGGTTGCCCTCCTTTTCTTCTGAAGCTGTGGGAAATGGCCACTTGTGTGATACAACAAAAAGGGCCTCCCAAAGACTAAGTTGCCATATAAAAAAGGGGATTCCCTTGTATCACAGCGAAAATAAACCCCTTGATCCCACAACCTACCGGGTTGAGGCCCCGAAGCCACCCATTTTTGAGGGTCCGACCCCTGAAAATGCTCCCGGGAATACACCGGGAAATATCACCGCCCATGTTTGGACCACTTTGGGTCACGAGGTGTATGCCTCAAATTAATGTGAGGGACCAAATCATTGGGAATCATTCAGCCCTTGATGTAAAAACCTTGGACATGCGCCTGCACCGCTTCTTTCTTTCCTCTCTCCGCCGCCGGCAGAAACGCAGCCGCATGTTGGCGGATGTTCGGGAAACTCTCAGGCCTTCTCCTGTGAGGAAGGGCAGATGGGCTTCTGAAAGTCCGGACTGATTGTTTGCCACCAAAATGCCAGAGTTCAGAAGTTCGAAAGTCCAGATGTTTTGGGTTGCCATCAAACTCATCTTCCCACCAAGATGAACATTCCGGAAGTACGACAGACTGTTTGTCCACCAGCAAAAAGTGCAAAGTGCTTTCAGGAACTGGGGAAGTGAGGCTGTCCAAGTCATCAAAACTAGTCTCCAAGGAGTCTGCCCAAGATGAATCAAAGGACCTTCTTGCTGTACCTATGCGTGGCTTGGTTTTAACCCCCTGACCCCGGCCCGGTAGGGCCTTCCACTTGCATGGAAGCCACCAGAGGTGGTGGATGCTGGCGTTTGCAGGGCTTCCTTCATGCGGTGGCAGGTCTGAGGGAGCAAAAGGCACAGAGGCCAAAGAACCTTCACCAGTGAAATCAGTTGCCACCCGAGATCCAAAAAGATCAAACCGCTTGAACTTACGGGGAAAGTCAACCGCTTTGGCAAGTCCAAGTCCAAATCGTGGCAGTTCCCACATCCATCTGTTCCGGGGCCGGCCCAGCCGCTTTCCAACGCAAGCGTCGCGCCTGGCTGAGCAGCAGGATGGCGCCCAAGGTCCACAAAGCGCAGAAGCACCACTGCAGCGTATTTCGGGTGCCGGGCACCTGGAATACGAAGGGGCGAGGCAGAGCGAACTTTGGGTAAGAAGCTCATGGTTTCCCTTGCAGCGCTACGGGTTTTCGGCTTTTGGCACTTCCTTTTGGTTTCCTTGTGGTTTCCTTATAAAAGGCGTCGCTTTGGCAAAAAAAAGAGCTTACTCACTTGGAACTACTCCTTGCAAAAAGCCCCAAAACCTGAAATCGGAAACGGATCCTCGGGGAATTGTTTAACCCCGTTCGCCAATAACAGGTAGATGAGTCCAACTGCTCTGGGTAAGCTATAACTTGAGGAGCGGGTGAACGAAAGCTAGCAGTTGTTGCATGAGATGGGTCGGTGACAGAGTGGATTCATAGGTAGCTTGTGTACAACGAGAGGCCCGGCAAGATTCGTAGGATGCGACACGCAAACGCACATGGTGGCGTGGCAAACCTTGAAAAATGAAAACAACGAGAGGCGTCAGAAGCTGTCTTAAAGCACCTCTGGGTTCTGCATGCTGCGTGTGCAAAGATTCTTGCGAGGTGGTTTACTGAGAAGACTGAGGTCTCAAATGAACAAGCTGAATCGGTGGAACATGTAAAAGTTCGTAGCACCAAGTCCAAAACGGGCAAACCGAGACTGCTGAAACACTGAGCCACTGCCCGGGGGGAGGGGTGGACCAAGGAGGAATCGAGCCTGAGATGGGGGGGGGGGGGTCTAAATAATTGATTTTTCAATCTTTTCGGCTCAAATAATTGAAAAAATCAATCTTTCGGCAGTTGAGCCCCTTACCTTGCTTACGCAAGGAGAAACTTCAGCTAGCTAAAGCTAGCTTTCGTGACTATAATCATTCACTATGAAAGGAAGCTTCATCATGGGGTCAACACCCGGTAGGTGAGGTCGATCGCATTAGTTTTGCTGGAAATGTTGGTTGTCTTAGAAAAGGACCTTGCTGGCATGGTTTTGCCGAAACCCTTGATTATATACCTCCAAGCTAAAACCAGAAACCACTGTTAGGAACATGGAATTACATATTCTCCTGATCAGGTTGATCGCCCTGGTTCCGCACTCACGAAAAGAACACGGGCTAACCCCAGGGCAAGGTGTCTCTGAAAAAACGGAATCTAAAGGGAGGAAGCGCACGTCGGTTTCGCTGGTTGGCGTGCTTGCAAATAGCCAACCGAAAAGGGTCCAAGTTCGCGCAAAATCACATGGCTGCTCTCGTTCGACCTTATCCTACAATACAAACTCGCACCCTGCAAAGATTCGAAACCAAAGAAGACCCTGAATCGAGCGTACCAATCCGCCCCTCCAAAAGGATCATTTTCGGCGGCCCGCGCAAGGCAGCCATATCTATCCATCTCAGCGTGTCCTTGTTGGGCCTCCGCCTCCTTTGGATTGTATTATTGTATTTGTCCCATTCTTTTTGAAGGGACACCCAACGGAAAGCCACAATTGCGTGGTTTCCATGTCCAATCTTGGAGACGAGCCCATCTTTGGCCACCAGGTTGCTTGGAAGGGAAACCGACGGGACATGGAAACCTCAGCCTTCTGCTTCCTTGAAAAGCCACCCCCCCATCCAGGCGCCCCAACTGACGGCCCGGTCTCCCAGAACCGCCTCGCGGTAGTACAGCAGCCCAAAGGCTCCGGAAGTGACCAGCTGAATGGCTTGGTTGGACGGCAGCATCACCGCCTTCATCCATGGCCATTTCGCGGCGCGAGAGGGAGCCGCTCTTTTTGTTTGATTCTGTGGGTGAGAAAAAAATACGATGTAGAGGGCACCGGGGGGGGGGGGGGGCACGTTGGGTTTTCTTGGGGCAACCAACAGGAAGCCAAAGAAAAATCTGGAGTTTTGGGGAATGCCAACTTCGATCAAAAGGACACATACGAATCAGGTGTTCAATCCCCTTGAGTTGAAATGTGCTCATGCTCCTCATAGCAAAAGGTGCCCAAGAAGCGTCCAAGAATCACATGAAAGGGGCTGTAAATGAGAAAGAGTATCCCCAACAGCACTGCACCGGAACCTCCTACCTGCCTGGAACCCTCCAGGAACTTGCAGGCAAGACCCCGAAACTCAGGATTGGCCAAGACCCCGAAACAAGAACGCTGCCCGTATGGCAGCATACCTTGCGTATGGTTTGTTGCCGCCCCCCCTCCCAAAAGAAAATAAGCTCAGGTGATATCACCAACAGCATGCGTTGATCTTGTTAGTGCTCGCACCACCCCGCAGCCCTCGCAGAACCTCGTGGAACCCTCGTGGAACCCTCATGGAACTCTGGTGGAACCCTGGTGGAGCCCTCGTGGAACCCTGGTGGAACCCTTGTGGAACCTTACCTCAGGGCCGCCCCGGACCACCCCGGAGCCTATCTGGGCTGAGAGCCCAAAGCTTTCAGCTGTTGGGAAAAAAGAAGCAAACAAAAATGAACAAAGCAACCAAAGCATAGCAAAAACAGTGGAGTGAACCCAACCAGTCGAGGTCCAAGTGATTTTCAAGCAACTCTGCAGTGACCCCCTCTTAGGCTCAAAAGACCAGGTGCAGCGGAAACTCGCAAAGCCAAAACTGGTCGGAAGGAATCTTCTGAGCGAAGGGGTTCTGATTGAAGGGTTTCGGATGGAACCTTTCTGGTGGCTAGGGGTTTCGGCCTTTTGGTTCCCTTTGGCAATTTGGTTCTCCTCGCCATTCCTTTTGGCGCCCTATCCACCACACGCCCACTTCTTTCCGGCTCCTTGCACTATCTGGACATGTGTCAAAAAGTGGTGGTGTTCCGTCTGGCGGCCCTTTAAACCAGCCTGAAAAACAGGTACCCTCAAAAACACAAGAAAACACACACACACACACACACACACACACACACCCACCCACCCACCCACCCACCCACCCACCCACCCACGCACGCACGCACGCACGCACGCACCCACCCACCCACCCCCACACCCACACCCACACCCACACCCACACCCACACCCACACCCACACCCACACCCACACCCACACCCACACCCACACCCACACCCACACACACACACACACACACACACACACACACACACACACACACACACACGCACACACGCACACACCCACCCACGCACGCACGCACGCACGCACGCACGCACGCACGCACGCACGCACGCACGCACGCACGCACGCACGCAC